ATTGGGCTCCAGAGAGTTCGGGCGTTAAAGTTAAATGCAATTGGACCGCTGGAGGCATACTGGTGCCACTGTTTGCGTCGCTTCTGTGTTAGTACAACTATGTACAATTAGCATTCCTTGTTAAGTAACAATTGCAATAAAGATCGGATATTAGAGGGTTATAATCCTATAGACAGGACAGATGACTAGTTATTTTAAAACAAATGATTTCATATTGAAAATATTTGTAAAAAAAACTTTATTTTTAATTACTATTATTACGAATACTGTTTTTATAAAAGCTGGAGTAGTAATTTTTAATTTACGGTAAACATTGCTATTTGTCATCGTATTACAAAGGTCGAGAATCTTAAACATAAAACCTGCGCTGAATTAAACGTTTTGTTAATCCGAGACCCTCGTCAAATGGCCTGCGCTCAGAGATATTATTTATTTAGGTAGGTACAAGGTGACTTTCACTGCCTAGCTTCTATACCGGTGATGGGGTTAGGGTTTTTACGTGTTCCTTAACCGTAAGTATGATATAAAAAGCGATTAACCGTGTACACTTTCCTCTACACACTTAACGAATGCAGCTTATTACATGGAACCGCGATATTCCCCGATTGTACTTACATATAAAACCCGTAAATCGTAAACCACATTGGTGAAAATCAATAAAATCCAATAAAATCGATAGCAATTCACCTTTCAAATAAAAAAGTATTAACAATAAATAATGTCACAAAAGATAAATATTAAATTGAATACAAATTCATCTATATTCGAATGAGGGTTCGTTAATATTTCAGGAGCGCTTGTCATAACAATAACTTCGTTATGTCTGAGCTAACGAGCCGATATCACAAGTGCTGAGAAACAATTAACACAAATAAAACAGGAATTCAACAGAAAAAAGTAATTGTTTTCATAACTGTTTAAAAATAAACATTTATGATGAACACCAAATTTTCACTTGATATTTACTGCGGGAGTAGTTAAATTGCCTTAGCTTAATTTGTTTTAAAAATTTAGAGACTGATTGTAGACATAATTAGTCTATGTAGGAATAAATTCCAATGCATTATCTTACTTTGTTATTCCGATTGAAATCAAAAGGCTTATTACGAATATCCGTGAGAACTTCTTCGTGACGTTACCGACAATATTTGTAGAAATTTTACCGGATGCTGATTAATCTCATACAAATTTTATCAATGTCGTTACGAATATGTTCTCGCAACTTTCCCGCAAACATTCGTGATAAGGCCTCTGTTAGAACACTAGCGCCCTCTATAAAAAATCCTTTAAAACGTGCATTCTTTGTCATTTAGCTTTAAATTCAATCCATGTATCTAATTAGGTCTAATTGCTTTCACGTTCCATTGTAAACTGCCTTCATATTTCAAACACAAGGCTCGTAGACGCAGCAATGTTGCTTATTTATGTAATACAGCCATTTTGGATAATTGAATTTGCTGAATACCTGCTTAATGGACGAGGATATATTCCGTTTCACGCTTCGATAAAATATCAACTTAATAAAGGTGACTTAATAACTTAATTAGAAGAGTGATGACATTTTGTACACATTTGTACTAATAATCATAAGTCATATATCGTGTTAGTCGTATTAATTAGAAATGTTAATAAATCCAATAAAAACATCAACAAAAAAGGGGCGTAGCGCAGAAAGCAAACGTTCGAGGACTCGACGAGTATGATGGGCTATCGGTAAAAGAGTAAGGAATCTTCCAATGGCTCTTGCGGCTAATGAAAATGGTTTTCGCGGTCACATGGATAGGAAATCTATCTCCCCATACATGCTGTATCTAACTTCTTACTAATGTTATAAATGCCAAAGTTTAATTGGATGGATGTTTGTTAGAGTTTATAGACTAAACGGCTGAACGGATCTCGATGAAATTTGGCATGGATGTAGAGTACATTCTGGAAAAACCCATAGGCTACTTAGTTTTTTTTATTCCACGGGGATGGAGTCGCGGGAAAGCTAGTAACAAATAAAGTAGAAGCCTATGTCTGAGGAAGCCAAATTCAGTGCGTGTAATGCAATAACGGGGATTACCTTGATCGGTTTAATCTACCCCTCACGGACCGCAACGATAACCTAACTGACCCCCTACTAATTGCAGCTACGTCAGCTTTACCAGCATTAGTGGGAATTTCTATAACTAAATATTACTCGTAGATTATTTGAATAATTAATAAATTAATAAAACGGGATTACAATGCCATTAAAATAGGAAAGTTCCTAGAACAGATCCCCCGCGAAATGCCAGTAAACTGTCAACGAGATGGTATGAGATACATATCTATCCCTTTCCGCCAATAAAGAAGTAGTTTTACTCAAAGAATTTGTTGAAGATTGCCAACTAATATGACAAGTTGTTACAGAATAACACAGAACGTTTATGAACATTGAAACAATTTCCATCGGCATTTCCGTTAGATGAAAGAATTCGTTCTGTTCACGGCCGAAGAGATTTCAGAATTTGATAAGCAATCCGCCGACATCCTTTGATGTTACCGCTCTGTCCCTTTCATAATCATAACAATAAAGTGAACAATACAATGTTATCAAGTCGCTCAGTACTCTATAGTGCGACTAAATCATGAAGCTGCGTTTAATATTACGGCAATAAGTCCTTGTAAATTAAGATGTTATTCTGGTAATAGAACCTTATTTTGTTAGACGCAATATTTTATTTTTGTGCTCATATTTTGTGTTGAACACTAAAGTGATTAAAAAGTGTGAAAAAAGGCTTTTTTCATAAAGAACCCAGGTTTAATATCACTTATGCCAGGGGTGGTCAATCTAGTTAGATTCAAAATCTACCGTACATTAACTATATTCTATGCTAATTATATACGTGTTTTTATCTTAATTGAAATATCATAGTTCCGCAGATAAGAAGTATTCTATTATGTAGAACTAGCTATCGCCCGCGACTCCATCCGCGTAGAATTTAAAAAATACAAGTGAGTAGCCTATGTGTTCTTCCAGAGTATCCTTTACATTTGTGCCGAATTTTATCGAAATCCGTCAAGCCGTTTAGGCTACAAACTCTAACAAACGTCCATCCATCTAAACTTTCGCATTTATAATATTAGTAAGAAGTAAGCTATCAATAGAATACGTATTTATATTTATTGCCTGGCCACGATCGACTAGACCACTTGCGAACAACCGTTTGGTCACCCCTGGGTTATGCAGATCGGCTGCAACTAATTCACTTTAATTTAACAACAAATTAATAAAATGATATAACTTCAAACATGTAAATTGTATAACTTGTGCGAGTTTAGAAACCAGGCCTAATGTTTGTTGCAGAGAAAGTTCCGGAAAGTTTTAATGATTGAGTAATTACGGAGAGGATTTTGATAAATCTGTTCCGACACATTTAAATCACTCCATGTTATACTTGAGGCGGACAAATAAATTATGCCCGTGAATACTTAGCATTAAGAAATATTAATTCATAAGTTATCTTTCCAATAACTTTAAAGTCAAGAACTTAGGGTATATTTTTCTGAAAGACTATAACTACGATTTTTATTACGTTTTACTTTCCGAGAAACCTATTTATAATTCAAACGCAATTTGTAAATAGCCTAACCTAAGTTAGTGGTGACTAGGCCATAGTCAACCAAGCTGGCTCACTGCGGGTTGCTGACTTCACACATTTCTTTGAATTACTTCGCCGATATCTGTAGAAATCACGATGTTTTCTGTCACCGTAAGAACGTCGGGTAAATTATGTACATATGAAAATTCGAAAAACGAAAATCACATTGGTATGGCGGGATTCGAACCTAAGACCTGTAGATTCGTCAAGTATTCAAACCCCTAAACTACTGGCGCTCTTCATCCATTTATCGCTACTAAAATAATGGGCCAGAGCGAGCTAAAAATATTATTTTAAAAGAGACCTTTGATCACCTCATTAGGATAATACGGTTCAAAGATTTATCTCGATATTTTTGTCACGGCGTCCTAACTAAATTGTATTTGATTTCTTCATTGCAAACAAAAATGAATCTTAAGTCTTTGCAAGAGAGTTGAATTTGATTTAAGTATTAATTCAGAGTAAGTAAAGTAAACGACAGTAGGGGTCGACTTTTATCCTTCACGTCTTTGTACCGCTGTCAATCTCAGGAGTTGGCAGAGATAGTTTTAAAACTTTAATAGCGAAGTTATAATAGAATGTTTTTATATTTCGCGTTATATGCTATATAAATGATTAGCTTCCAGTTTTAGTATTCAACGAAAACAAGAACGAATAGTGTTTTAATTTTAGAGCTCACATACCTTACTAAACTATCTCAACTGCTTAGTCGCGCTTTGATTCCTATGAGCTTGTATGGATACTACTCGATTTTGAGTTGTGCAACTAAACAGTTGAATTGACAGCGAAACAATCTTCAATCGCACAACTGTTCTGCGATAGTTTAGTCAAAGGTGTGCGCCCGCTCTTCTACAATAAACTATTTACTATAACAGGTGCTAGTAACTTCCCACGGCTTAACTCTCTCGCGGTAACCTTTTATTGACCGAGTTTTCATTTAAACTATATTTCATTTAAATGTTTTACTTAAATAGGTATTCTCTATTTCCAGGTAAAATACCTCGACTTTGTAACGAATTTCTTAGAATAAATATTAATTAATTATAAATAATACTTCTTAAAAATTGTATTCCAGATAATTTTCCGAGAATTCTTTGTAAATGTCACCGACCAATTGTGTACCTCGTCAATATAAGATTGTTCTGAACAATTTGGTGGTATGCGTAAGGTACTACAGTACGAAAAAAGTGCGTAGACATTTTGAAATAACCTTGTGATGTTTTCTCCTTGCTGGATTTATAAAAGGTTTAATGCGTTTCCGTACTGTATGTATGCTACTCGGGCAAAAGTACTGCGAAAAAGCGAAGATTTGCTAACTTTCTAACTAGTCGGATAATAAAGCAACGCAGTTCACAATTGATCGGTGACTTGATGAAGTATGACGGATTGTATCTTCAAAGAAACGGCATTCGACTTCAAAGCACCAACATTATTCCTTTTTTTTTTTTTTT